AAAAACAACTATTTAAGAGAGATATTTTAATGCTCAATTAAGAGGATACAGTTCAAAGGCCACGTTAAAAAAATTTTAAGTTTCGTTATCATAAAAAATTATTGCTTATAATATGGATATTTTATTGAGATACTTAAGCTATCACAAAACATTGATATTTAGTGTGCTCGCTCATATACACAAAGATAAATTATACACGTGTTACACAGAAAATCCTAAAACTACATGGATTACTCTCACCATTAGCCTACTAGGAGAGGTAAACCAAATATAACCCTACTTTTTATACTATAAATAGGAAAACAAGTAACACTTCGTGGTTTTCCTTATCATAAATCATAGACAAACAACATAGATTGTGATACCGCACACCGATTTTGAAACTAGCCGAAAGGCTGGAATGGAATTTCCTGGATGAAAGTGAAACAAATTGGACATGGAATAGCCTTTTCGACAACTTGGGATTTATGACCAACTAACCTCATACTGAGGCAATCATGGTTGATGATATAACATTGCAATATGGCCTAGGGACCTGGAGACGAAGGGGCGCCGACATTGCCAGGATTTTGACACAGAGGTCTTGAAAATCACATAGAGTAACAAGGAAAATAGAGTGGATGAATGAATTAAAATCATCCTAATCCTTATCCTAGTGAGTGTGAGAAAATTCGAGGATTAAAGAAATAATCGGAAATAATTTTCCAATTTATGTTGTAATAATATTTTTTTGCGTATTATAGAAAACATGTGCAATTCTATGGTAATTGGTAATGTGAGCTGTTTTAGAATAGATTTCAAGAACAAATTTTTATAATTTTAGGTCCACTTTAGCTCTATTTTATTGTATACAAAAGTAGAGGTGAATTTTAGTTTACGTTGTCTAATGGTGAAATATAACTTTAGGTATAAGGGGTAGGTGTAATTAAATTAGGGCGGGTTTTGAACTTACAACATTCAAACTAAACTTAAACAAGCATTTATTCAGCATTGCCTCCAGGATTGATTTAAGACAATATAAAATAGGTTACGTACCTTTACGTCGTCAATCCTAGGTTAGTCTTTTGATCAGTTAAACTGCTCAGTTAAACTGCTTACTGCTCAGTTAAACAAGCAGTTTCCCAACACAAGTCACTGGTAATATTGGAAACATTAACTATCGGTAATATAAGCTATGATTTGCCAAAATAAGTACTACAAGTATACTCGTAGTCTACTATGAGGTTTGTACAATCTTTGTAAATCATTAACAAAATGTTTTCACAAACAAATACCTCGGCTCTAGCTAGACAACGATGGTGTTTTATTTAATTTTAATGTTTCAAACCCAGAGACATGTCGTCTTTTTGAGGGAATAATAGGATCGCCTGGTTTGTTACTTTCCATACTACTTCATCATACTTACCATACTTACCATCCATACCATTCATACTTTCTATCTTAGTAAATACAAGGGACTCCACGGCAAAATATTAATGCCTAATTATACTTCAAACCTATAAAAACAACATGGATAACACCCGAGGAAGAACTTGTTTCTGAACACAACTTCCAAACAAATTAATATCCAGAGGTCGCCAAGGTGAGGTCTGCGGTCGAAGCTAACTCGAAAATGAGGCTCCTTTCACTTTTCACTAGGTTTCTCGTCACTTTTATAGACAATAATTATAGGGCTTAGAAAATGTGGAAACTCAACCATAAATAATAGTAATAGATAGCAAAGAATCATGTTTTCAATTCTGTGGTAGCATTTTGAATTTCTAACTATGGCAAAAATATTGTACCAATGCATGCACTTAATATAGTTTCCCTAAAGGGAATTTCTAAAACAAAAATACGTAGGAACGAACATCGAATGACTGTACCTTGGTCTAAAATAATATAGGTTATGTTTATATTGCTCAATAAAGTATGCTTCTATGCACATCTGTTAAAAAGTGTGAAAACTGCAACACATTAAAACCATCGGGTAATAACTTAATCAAGTTATTAAGCTGGTAACTGATATAGAATACATATATTATTTCCCACGCATGTGGCATCACTACATGTATTACCGTATTACACAATCGCAAACTACTATCTCGGACGTGGAAATTATTCCCGCACGATCCTGAGGCGATCCGAAGGTGAATTAGATTGAGGTCCGCGAGGTTCGAGGTGTGAGGCAACCTAGGCTGGGAGGTCCCGGTGTAAGTTACTCAGGAGATCCAGTTTTGTAACATCGCCCAACCTGTTTATTGAAACTACCGGTTAATTGGTTGGTAGTAAAATATCACACGTGATCAATTTAAAAAAGTTTACCAGGAGTAGTTTGGGAGATCAATTAATCGATTTGGTAAACTGATAGTATCGTACCTGGGGACTACTTAATACCAACCTTCTGTATTGTATTTGCGATTGCGATGTACTTATTTCCAGTCGAAAGTACTTCTAGATTCAGTAATTTTCTTTAACATGGTTTGGTTAGTTAATTTTGAGGTTTTCTCACTGAGCTAGAAGGCAGCACTGGTGTAACAGCTCTGCTATAAAATCAATACGCTGTACAACTTTGTTATGTTGGTATAACTAGAGGAATCAGTTAATTGGCTCATGGCTTTATGTTTATACAATCCCACAATCAATGTAATTCCCAATTACCCTAAATAAATTTAACTAAGTACAGTGTACTTTAAATCCTTTAGTACAAATAGCAGCCGTCTCGCAATTCTCTCATTCAGTTCTACCCCAGTTGTATCTCAAACTCAGTGGGTTTACTCAACAATAACCATTATAAATACCATAAGAACACCGTAAATTTACTATTTATTCACCTTGGTGTTACACCAAGACATTGTTTAGTGCCTACCATAGATTGAAGAGTAGTCCTATCTTTAATCTATGGTCCTAAAAATATAGCTACTTCAGTAGTTGTATCGCCATCTGCAGTCTACGTGCACACTCGCTGTCTCTGTACGGGAGAAAGAAAAAGGTTAGCACTAGCAGATCGTATCATTACGTTTCCTCTATTCAGCTGTGCCAATTACTAAGACAGCTGGATCACGAGTATAGCTTTACAGTACGCGGCATGCCGCACATACGTGGTATTCTGCCGCTTGCCGCACGTTTGCCGCATTCTGCCGCTTGCCGCACGTTTGCCGCATTCTGCCGCAGTGGGCATTCCAGGTTACGACACCGTAGTAAGAGTTATGGTGCTAATAACGTGTGCCCAAGGTGAGGAAGAATCTCCAATTATTACAGGTGTGAAACCGTGATGGTGTCTGAAAACCACGGTGTAAAAGTGTAAACAAACTCAAGAGTAAATTCAAAATTAAGTTGATGAAACTTATTTTCAGGACTGATATAAGCTTTAATTTCGTGTGAGTTCGTGTTTCTGTGGTGAGAATTGATGCCAATTTCTTATTCAATTAAGATAAGAGATAAGGAAGCAACTGGGCGTATTTGAACCCAAATATGAACGGCGGATTACTTATTTATTCTATCTAATTGCGAATTGTGTGTAGCTTTTGTACTGACTAAGATCAGGCGTTTCTTTAGAAAGAACCGTTTATTAAAAAGTCTAATAATCAAAGACAGCTGTTAATGTGTCAAGTTTTGAAATATCAAAAAGCTGCTGTCTTTTCTCTGGATTATTAGAGCACTCACTCAGTTACCCAGCTCCAAATCTTTACCATTGTGGATCCGATTCCGATAAGTTAATACAGAGCTGTATTTATCATACATTAAACAAACCACACCAAGTTTTCTAATTGCTGTGGTTAGTTTCTAGAAACATTCTAATTACAAAGAAATTAATAGTATATTTTGATTAAGTACTGACTGTACTGTTCAGTACAACAGAATCCTCCAGTAAAAGTTACTTCTTAATATGTGTGCAAGCAAACTATAACGTCATTGTCTCTAAAAAGATACTCGTAAAAGACATTTTTTGAGAACGAATTGATTTCTCGAATAACAGAAGAAACACACTTTATCCACTCTTTATCGAGCCCATTTGAACTTTTCTTCTAATCAGTATTTTTTTACAATTTAAATGTGAATCGTGAAAAACAGATGAGTGCTTAAGGTAACCTAAATGAGTTAATTACCATCTTCTTTATGAAGAGAAACCCAGTGCGAGTCTCGTCGTGACTGAGGTATCAACAAAGCCACGAAGCATTTTGCGTGCAAAAGTAAGCTCTCGGTGAAACCCATTTGCGGAAATTAGCTGGCAGACATTTTCCGTTAGTTGGCAATTCGTGTTTTAAATTTTCCGCATGAAACATTTGTTTTTGTGATCTGTAACGCATGAAAGAAATTTGTCCTATAACAGAGTGATGAGAGATTTACACCATTTACGACCATTACTAACTTCTAAATTTGAAATTTTTCGTTTCAAAGTTTTCGTTTACCTAGATAAAGTACGTCTTTATGTTTTTCATCATCGTGTATATAAAAAACACATATATCCATGATACATCAATACAAATGTTATCTATTTGTATAACCATAGATCGATCCATCGCCATGAAACTTGAAGAAATATTTTTACATCTCTGTACATCCCTGGGACGTCTTTTGTCTTAATCTCGCATTTCGCAAGTTCTGAGGTAGAGCTTTATGAAATATATTGTTTCTATAACAAAACTTTAAAAAGTTTAATTGAGAACAATTGTTTTGTCAACGTTTTTACAGTGCCCTGCGTTTCATACACTTTCAGTAGATTTAATAAAATCAGAGCATATTATAAAACTAATGCTATAAACTTGTAACGATAATTTTCATTGTAGCTACAATTTCTTCAGTGCTCAGTGATGATGCAATAACAATTTTTCCAATGTAGCTAAAGGCCTTTTTTGGTATTATTGTATATTTAATATCATTTGTATTAACAAACAGAATTATACGATAAGTTTACTGGTGGGTAAAATGGTAAAGATAAGTTCTTACCGTCCCTCAACAATCCTTTAGTAATTTCATAACTTTAAAAATATCTAAAGTAACAAACTGTTTGTTTCCAGACGAGGAAGATTTGGTCGTTCCCCTGGACAACGAGACATTCCTACTATCATACCTCAGGCCCTGCAAGTTCTACCCGGAGAGTGCCTTTGAAAGGGTGAGTCTTGACGAAACATCTGGACCCAGCTGTTCTTGATCATTGGGCTTTTAAGAAGGTTCTACCCGGCAGCCTGAATTTCAATTCAAGATGGAGGATTATGAATTGAAATATAGTTCGGGATTGAAAATGCCTCTATTTTAAAACCTCTCAACATTCTAAAACTAAGTTGTTTCTAATGATTGTGTGCTTTTTGTGCTCTTAACATATCAAGCTTGCAATGGAATGGGAAAATTTTATTTTAAACTATTATTTAGAGGTTGAAATTACATGTGAAAAAGACTACAAGGATTTTCAGAATGATTTTGTAAATACTTAAAGAAACAATTACGAAGTTTTAGTTCATTTAGTGCATAGTTTGAATCTTCGTGAATATTTTAAAATTTATTTCAACCCGATAAACATTTTAATAATGCCACGAGGTTTTTTTATAGGGACCATGTAAATGTGGTAACCAGCCTGGGTGGAACCCCCTTAATGACTGATGAAACAGCTGATCTTTGTCAGTAAAAAAGCTACACAAGGCAACACACTTCATTCTACACTCATCCTTCACTCACTTTTGGGTTAAATACACACCTAGGTGGCGTTTCGATCTGGAATGAAAATGAATATGAAAAACATAATACATCTACTATCAATTTATATCGTCCTTATAAACTCGAAGACTGTTTTAAAAACAACCAATGTGGATTCATCCTTCAAAATTTTCTGTAAACGAATTTCCTAATTAAAAAACTCACTTGACGTAAGAAAAGTTTAAATAATATTATTTATTTATCAGAAGTACACAAATATATTAACAATGTAACATAGCTTAAATTAAAATGTGTTAATGTTTTGGAAGGGCAAAGGTATCTAACATATTATCCCTTAGAATATAGACAAATAATGTACTCAGAGTTGGCCTACAAGACCAGATCAATTTTCTATCATGTACGGCGTACATGGCACGTACAGTATACACGCATGCACGATGTACAGCTAATGTAGGCCTACGTTTAGTAGTATCTTTTACGTCACCGACCACCAAAGGTCAAGTGAGAAGCGGCGTCCAAAGCCCTTTAAAGTCTGACGTTACTTTCCCACGGTAATCCGTACAGTCATTTCTGAATAGTATATACTTAGTGGATGTTGATTTTCATCGGTAGAAGTATAAATTAATTTAATTCGTAAATGAATCGTAGATGGCTTGATTGATAATTAAATTTAATAATATTCTACGAAATGGATATGTAATTTATTTTAAGAAAACGGGCTAAACACTATTTTTTACTTCCCAAAGTTGCATTAAACTTTTTGACATCGTAAAAATTGATAGTTCAATGAAAAACAGTTATAAGAATCAACTTTGCTCAATATTTATATAATTTGAGTAAATAAATTAAAACACGTACTGGCGTCCTATAGTTAGATCTTAAAAAAACTATTCTGGGATAAGTGATTTTCTCATTCCCGGTTTTTCCCTGAACGTTGCCAAACTGACCTCCCTTAACGAGGAATTAGCATAGCAACTTCAGTACTTCTCCCCCACTTGAAAAAAACCATTGCAATCCTCTCTAATTGCTGTGGCATTTTCAGTAGGCCTATGATCATAAAAGGTCATGTAATTTTACACCCCATTTTCCAGTTATCTAGGGTCTATTATTATTCTGTCAAACAGAAAAAACCTTAGTAAATAAATATAAATATCAATACACAAATTTATTTAGAAAACTCTGAACAAGCACCAAGTAAATTTACTTGGTAAGTAAACCGATTAACAAAATAATAAATTTGAGATTTAATGGACTTAATATTGTTGTTTTCTTACACTATGTAAGGTAATATTTTATTTTCGGCTGTGATAATCTTTAACTTGTATGTACTTATAGAATTAGACATTAATTACAACTGTGATATAAACATTTTCCCATCTTAACATCTTATTCCAAACACAAAATTTCCTCCCTTAAGATTCACTTTTATATTAAACACACATCTCTTTACATTGCAGTAAAAACTGTTCCAAGTGAGAGTTGAGCACAGCGCAAGTGCGTTGAACCTGTTTAATTGATGAATGAACTCTGTAAAGCCATTGGTCTTTAACTAGCACAATTACCTCAAGTGAATGATACGACTGAGTCCCTTTAGAAGACGGGGACTGGAGACCAGTTGTTGATTGATATATTGTATTGGTGGCCATTAGTGTTAAACCCAAATAACATGCATTTGATATAGGAAAACTAGTCTTTTTGTAAATTACACAAAAACTAAAAGAGACACAAAGTAAGTGTAAATTACAAAGTTGTTAAGAATTAAAAGACCTATAAAATGATGTGCCACTTGACATAATATGTCATATCATGTTGCTATTTTAAAATTTTGAACAATGGGCATTTGCAATTTTTCAAAAATAATTTATTTTTTTATTTTTATTATTTCAAAGAACCGTTACTCGTAGCATATCTCAGTAAAGCTAATTTCATAACGAGTAAGAAAATTCAACTGGAGAAGGGCTAAGTGCATTGTTGTAGGAAACACAAGAGTATTACAAATATATTGATTTTTCCCAACAAAAAAAAAAAAAATTGTCGCGATTTAAAACGAAAAAAGATAATTAATTTCCATTCTCGTCAAAATGTTTGTCCATTAAATACCTTTAAAATTATGTATAACATGACATATGTTTACATTTGAAAATTCCGAGATTTGAACTAGTGACCCTCAGTTTTTGGCACACCCTGTATTGGGAAAATGCAAAAAATATTTTTTCGTTATTCCTTGGGGTCGATTTAGTGGGAAATAATTTCATTTCATCCATGTACGTTAAGCCGTTTTTCCGTAATCAATTTGAGACACCTTACGTGGGACACTCTGTATACTGTTATTATTGCAACTTTATTGGATTATCAATAATAGGCCTACAGGTATTTAAACCACTTGGTAAAACATATAGCCGACGGAGGATTCAAAAGTCTGTCATAAAAAAGAGAATCATAAAAACGAGCTTAGGATTTTACAATGCGATGAGAAGTATACTTGCAATATCCAAAGACAACGGTTCAACCCAAAAGCAATGACATGCACATCTCCCTCTTAAAACATCTACCTCAAAAACCCTGAATGATTTTATCCGATATTTGATCAAAGCATGTGCAAAAGTGAGTCGGATAACATCTGACTTCCTCATGACATCCTGGTGCGGTGTTTACATGCCAAGGTCCTGATGGAGTGCTGCAATCAGAACAATTTCAGGGTTACTTGACCAGTCATTGTGATTAAACTGACTTTTCTTTATCCTGCAGTAAAAACAGCCGTTTTAAATACACACGTTGCAAGTCTAAAGTAGCTCTTTTACTCCCTATGGAGCAAATTCAGCTGTTATAAACACAGCTGTAACCTTTGATTGTAATCAATTGCATGTATCAGAATGATTTGCTCGTTTTAATTGGTTGTAGCTTATTGTTGCATTGTTAACTGATTGAAATATCAAGGGTATAATGTTATACGATGTGTACACCAACACAATTGTAATAGTCAAAATAACTTAATCACTTTTCAAACAGCTGCTTGTTTGCATCAGCTAAATAAATGTAGGAAAATAGAAGTTTTGAGAGGGTATCTTTAGATGAAAAGTTTTTTTCGTTTTCTAACTTAAGCCCCTGTCACACGGAGCTGGTTTTCTAGCCGCTAGTAACTAGCAGCTAGAACCAGCGGAAAACCAGCATCGTGTGACTGACTCTCCAGCCGCTAGTAACACTCGCATGAGCTGGTATCTCCAGCCGCTGGAGGTTTTAAACGGTTTAATATTACAAGCGCTTGAAGAGTCACTTGCAGGTCAGGTGACCACCCAGCTGTAGTCTCTAGCATCATTCCAGCTCTGTCTGACAGTATCGTGCTAGTTCTCGCAATAAGAAAAATGAATTTAAATTAATTAACACATTTAAACTAATCAAGAATAAATTTAAACTTTCATGTTTAGAAATTGTTCATACATTGCCGTAAGTTTCTCGTTGTTACGATTGCTACATCTCACATATATTAATTAAATGAATGTGTTCTTGAAAGATAAAGTCCTTTTGTTATACGCCTACCATAACTTATTCGATTTTAATTAGTTAATTTACATGCCCGTAGTAGATACAAAATAATAGTGTTTATATATTAAAAGTATATTTTTCCTTGCACTTTTTAATTTTATGATAGCTGATCATAGACAAAACATCAATTCTAATAGCAACAGAAGACATTATTTTTGTTAACTACACAGTCAGTTCCAATTACATCACCAAACTTGTAAGTTGTAGCGCTAGTTCTCCAGCTTCGTCTGACAGGACTTCTAGCGCGCTGGAGAACTAGCAACTAAAGCTGCTGGATCTCGCAGCGAGAACCAGCTGCTGGAACCAGCTCCGTGTGACAGGGGCTTAAGTAAAGGTGCAATTTGATGGAAAATACGGATCATCACATGTGTCTTTTCAACCCTCGCTCATCTTTGACCTCGGCTTCGACTTGTTTGTAAAACTTTAAGAACTTGGGTCGAAAAGAGTCACTTTACGCCCTAGTGGTGAAATATACCATTACTACTCTTGTAGGCTACCTGTCTAGTCACATTTGTTCTATGTATATGCTTATTTGGTATCTGCTTTCACCACTCGCTTATTTTAACATTTATTATTTAGGTAGAACCATTTATTGGTCAATGATTGAGAACTGCATATTAGTCATGAAACTGACTTTTCTCAGGTTCAAAACAACGAGTCTGTGATTACTACAATCTATAACTTCTCAACTACACAGCTAGTGGATGGGTAGTATTTTTTTCCTTTTTTTTCGACGACGCTAGGCACGAGCCCGGAATTGTTTTTCACATTACTTCAGGCTAGACCTAGCCTAGGGTTGTGGGTTGTGGCATTATCTTTAGATAAAATCCATTGGTGATTTGGCGGGATTTGAACCCGGGACCTCTTGGACCGAAGTCCTGCGCTCTAACCACTAGACCAGCTCGCTCCCCTCAATCCTCCCAGTAGAAAAGCTAGTTAAACACTGAATATGAGAAAAATGGAATACTTTAAATGTTGTCAAATCCTAAATTACTAATACTCCCTCCTCTTAAAATTTGTATTACTAGTTTTGAATTTAAAATTTTAGGTATTTTGTCTCCAAATAGTTACACATTATTATAGCAACTGTTGCATAGCATGGGATAGGTAGAATAATTGCAGAGCCTACAGTTGCAACATTACACTTGCTTTACTTATACGCCAATAATTACCATATCAATTACATTTGCAGTGAGGTTGGTTTGGCCAGTCTTGCTTGGCTACCTCAGTACCTCACTAACTCTTGGTCTATTAATTTAACCCTATGATTACTGTCAATTGCTTGACCTGTGATTACCCTGTCTCCGGCTAATTGCTTGTATCAACTTGCTACGCTCCAGGAAATCCGACAGATCCCACGCTTTGCACTGTGTTTTCCTTGTTCTGTTTGAATTACCGAGATTTTCCCTTGTCTAATGGTCAATGGGATTATAGGGTTTTGAGGTTCTCAGGAATACTTATTCTTCAAGGATATGTAATGAAACAATTAGGGGAGTCTTTGGCTCAGTCTGTAGCGCCACGGACTTCAGGCAGCAATGTCATGGGTTCAAATCCTGTTACTCTTCAATACTTTTTTATCAGTACACTTCACCTTATATAGCAGGAGTGGCTCACTCCTTGCTTTGCTGGATACTTTCCACACACAGGTCCTTAGCCTATGTGGTTGACAAATGCAAGGTTAAAAGAGTCCGCCAATCTCTTAAAAAAGATTATAGAATATAATGTAGATTCTTCTGATTTGATGTTCCATTCCAGATTTGCAAGTTCTACAAGTTCCGGCCGAAGCACCCTAAGTACTTTGGCAACCTGGTGCCAAGCAATGACAAGAATGTGTTCCAGAACTGTCTACTCACTGTACTGCCCCACAGGGATCAGCATGGCAGCCGTATACTCATGGTGGAGGCGGGAGGTAACGTCACAGTTTTTCTTGTAGACCACCCTTAAATCTTTTACAAAAAATGTATGTATAACCATTGACTATACAAAAAAAAGTCTGTGTATAGTCAATGGTATAACCTAGTAATTTTTCTAATTTGAATGATAAAATTGAAATACATTTACATGTTTTAACATGTATGGTCCCAAATGATTTAACGTTAAAAACACAGCTCTGACTACTTTAACCAAACAAAACTATTTGGATTCTCCTTAGGTCCAACAGTACCAATAGTCTTGGTAATTTTTTTTAATAGCAAGGTACCCCTTGTGACATATAAAATAAAAGAGCATGAAAAAAGAAAATGTTTGGTGAAATTTATTTTTCATTTGATATGTCACAAGGGCCGGTACCTTGCTATTAAAAAACAAGTTATTGGTAGGGGAAAAGGGGTGTGATTATCTCGAAAATTCATTAGCCAATTTTAAATTTTTTTCACCAAAAGTTTTCTTTTCTCATGCTCTTTCATTTGATATGTCACAAGGGGTACCTTGCTATTAAAAAAAAAATTAAGTTCCGGGTAGGGGGGGGGGGAAATATCTCGCAAATTTATGAACCGATTTTCAATTTTTTTTCATCAAACATTTTCTTTTTTCATGCTCTTTCATTTGATATGTCACAAGGGGTACCTTGCTATTTAAAAAAATTAAGTTGGGGGCAGGGGGGGAAAGGGGGGGAATATGAATGTAACGTTGAATTCAAAACAATTGGTCCCCCTACGTCAATAGATGATTCCCGCAAACTGCATATTTCTATCTATTGCGGTTTTTACATAAATAAAGATGCAAGTTTTTAAAAAAACACCCTGTATTTTCATTTTGTTTTGTACAGTAGACTCCTACTTATCCGGACACTTTTTAACCAGACATCGGTTTAACTGGACTACACTCAGCAGCAGTGACATCACTTTAACCAGGCAATTTTTATCAGCACAACAAGCAAGTTTAACTGGACGGGAATGGCAGGAATTAAGTGGGCAGTTCTCAAACAACTTTTTCATGAGACAAATTTGAGACCAGTCACAATCACACAAAAAACACACATATAAAATGCTCTCCCAAATTTGAGTAAAATATTTGGGTTAGTTTTTGAGTGTTTCTAAATATTGGGGATGTGAGTTTAACTGGAAACCCAGTTTTCTGGACTGGCCTCAGCCATAGAGTCCAGATAAGAGGGGGTCTACTGTAATATTTTTTTCATCAATGAAAGATGTTTTTATGTCTTCATGGATAATACATGCAATGCTTATAAAATTGTTTCTAGTATTTTTTAAATTAAAATATCTAAATTATATACCTATCATTGATAGTTACGGTCAATGATAACACAGTTACAAGTTACAGAAATTGAAACTACTTTTTTGCATTGTTACAAAAAACTTGAAAGCACAGACAATACATTCACTAGCTATATGTGTCAAGTTACCAGATCTGCTCTGGATTTAGATCCATCCTACACCCAGCAAACCGGTTCCCTAAGATTGTATCTTATTTACATAATACATGGACATTATTCAACAAGGAGAGCAATAAGTATAAATATATGGGGAATTTAAATATTGTGGTTATGAAATCAGGTATTATATTGATTTAAGAATGGCTGAAAAGTGGTTTTACGTTATAGAATACGACAGTTATAAATATAAAAACCAAAACTAACGTTGTAACACATTTTGTGGGCATACAGTTACAATTTTTATTTTACCAAGACTTACATAAGATAAAAGACGGTTGGGGAGGAATTTGGAAAGAAACTACATTTAAAATAGTAACACAACAGAATCAGCAAAATAGGAAATTATGGATAAATCCGTGTATATATATAAAACAGACTAAATATTCAATAGAAAAACTGCTAGGTGTTAAAACAAAAGTGTAAAACATAACACATTTTTACCTTAGGTCAAACCAAATTGTTAATACCGGTAATTAAAGTTATCTAACACCCCTTTCACCCCCTTTCTTTCACAATCTTGCCTGAAACAATTTTGAACATTTTTGGAAAGTAGCGTTTAAATTAAACACACTGTCATTTGCAATCTCTGAAAATTGATGCTGCAATTTCAACTGCAAGCAGGTAATAATTTAGGCCGGAGGCTGAGGCAAAGGTTCATAAATGTCACAAGAGAAAGTAAAGGAATTCTTATGGTCAAACAGAGTGACAATATCTAGAGTGTTTGTCAATTTTATGGGGAGAAAACTAATTCCTTACTGAGAACAGAAATAACTTCCTTTTGGAATGAACAAGGTAAAACGCATGATGTGAAGTTTGTTAAAAATTTACTAAATATGGCTTTAATCCTCTGAGAAACTAAGATGAAATAAAAAGTATCATGTATCAACTTAAAATCTAATTATTAGGAGGCGAAATTGAAGGAGAATCCTTATTGGTTCCAATAATGATTTGTGGTACTTAGTTATACGATTAATTTTTATGACAAAATGATTAACTGAGTACCGGTACCCTTGAGCCTTGTGTTGTAAAAAATGTGTTGTAATAACCGTGTTGTCAAAAATCCTCTTTACAAATATAATAATAATTCAAGTAAATTAAATTTTATTCCCTCCACTATATGAATTTTTAAAATCTTGCATATTCATGCAGGGTTATTTTAAAAATATGGGCCCAGGGGTGCAAGAGCTTTTAGGTTTGTTGGGGAGCAAGGAAGAGTAAAATCACCCACAAGGAAGGGGCAAAGGGTAGCACAAATATCTCTCGGGGCCCACAGCTCATCTCATGCACACTGCGAGCCTGCATTTATGTAATCTCAAGCTTTTTATTCATTAAGTTACTATGTTGATTAGGAAAATGGACTTTTGACAGAGTTGTCTTGATTTTGAGATGGATTTTGATGTCATTTCGGGTAGTTTTTTTTTACACTTATTCCAAGTAACTGATTTTCAGTGGTGTTAAACCATTCGGAATTAATAAAAGCCTACCCCATTGGTTCTTCCTGTTTGGGTTGTATGTTTTTGTCATTACAATTCTTTTCAAATATAAATTTTCTTCTTTTGTTCAAATACATTTTGTTTTCCATAACACTTATCACTCCTGACTCTTTCCCCAGACAAGTGGAAGCCGAAGGACTGTAGCCTGGTGGAGCTGCTACGAGGAATTCTGATGATTCTGGAGGCAGCCATCTTGGAGCCACGGACTCAGATCTCTGGTGCCATCGTTCTCGTAGACCTGCAAGGTCTCTCTCTACACCACGTGTGGCAGTTTAGCCCGGGCTTCGCCAGCATGCTGGTGGAGTGGGTCCAGGTACAACATATATCATTACTTATTTAAATCACTCGGTGGTTTTGAATTTTGAACTCCACCTACATAACAGTTGTTATAACTGTATAGTTTTTTGCTTAACATGTAGTGCAGATTTGACTATCCTGATGATATTGAGCAAAACCAGCCAGGTTTTGTGGGGTTGGATAGGCAAAAATCTACTCTATGAAATTGTACAACACAATGCCTGACTGTCTACTCACTCACTCGTCCCCAGCATGTTCAAAGCAACTAAGATATGCGGGGATATCAGTTAAGTATGGAGGTATGAGAAAAGTCCGCTTCTGATTACGCACAGGCAAAAGGAGTTGTCCATTTGTACTCGCTACAGGCAAATCACATTGAAACAGTGCAAAAATTTCACAGTAATTGATCGTCTGCAGAAAAACGGATATCATGAAAGATTGAATAATTGAAGATCCGATAATGCACACTCAATTGCATTTAAGTTTCATAAGAAAACAAAAAAATCTTCTGATAGTCGTACACTCAATGGATAAACAATAAAGACATAAACAATAAATAAATTAGAATATTGTGACCCACTGAATTATATAGTAAAGAGTCGACCAATGTGGATATAAATAAAATTAAGAGTCATCTTCTGATGAGCTGATGACTGTACTTTTGATCTTTGACTAGCATTATACCGATTTGAATCAAGCACTATATAATCAGTCGGTATGGTAGCACACCAGTAAAAATCAGTGTTTCATATTAATTTTCCTTAAAATAAATATAAACAAGCTACCCGTGCTTTGCAACGGGAAGAAAATGTGACCTAGCTATTAAAGCTGTGCTGATGTGTGTTTTAAAATACAGCAACTCTATGATTTAGTTTGGAAATATAAACTGATTTAAAAGCGTAAACCTACTTACTTTCAAACCCCTACTTTTGATGTTAATAGATCCCTAAGAATATGACAACATACCTTAGTGTACCAAAAGCATCAATTGCTTCATATTAATGCTTCATAAATGACATGTTTTACCATAATTCTTCAATTTTAGTCAAGCCTCTTGACATGTAGCTTACTCTTGAATAAAAAAAAAAATTAAACTTTCAGCAATACTTTACAAAACGTATACAACCTCACTTTAAAACCAAACATAACCCTCCTCAATCTACATAGCTCACAAAACATCTTTTTCGAGTAAATAAACAAACACTGTTCATTATACTGACCAGCTGTTTAATTAACTAAATGAAATTAAATCATTTAAAAATTGAAAGCATGCCAGGCGTAGCCCTTTGGAAATCAGCCTGTGGGGCAGAGCCCTTAGGAAATTCGTCCATATCAATACTTTTCGGCAAATCTACACACTCTAACCTTAACCGTTTACATAAAATTTGATTGTATCACTTTAATAATATAATAGATACTTCCATTACTGCTACCATATAATGGTGTTTGATAACTGAAATAAGAAATGTTAGCTGTGATTTTTGTTTGTTTGAGGGTAGTATTTATAGTCAAAGGTAATATTCAAATTTGAGAGCCCATTTAAGATGAGCAAATCCAGCAAATACAGTGAAGTTTAAAAGTGGTTACTGTCTGAATAGTTTCAATTTGTATATGTACTTTTAAGGAATTAGTAGGTCTATTTGACTACATAAGAATAAACCTTTAAATTTGTTTTTAGGATCTCATCCCTTGCCGAATCAAGGCAATCCACATAGTTAATCAGCCATACATATTCAACATGCTATTCAACATATTCAAACCATTTCTTCGAGAGAAGCTAAGGAATAGGGTAAGTGTGTACTGTATATGTATTTAGGAAATTAGTTTATTCATTAGTTGACTTAGGCCCCTTCCTGCAAGGGCGTCAGGAGTAAGACGACGGGAGCGACAAAATTTCAAACCAATGTATAAGCATAGGAACATTCTTGGTAAGCAACAAAAGCAACGCTTTGGCAGTGTGCGTTGCGTGTCATGCAAGCTTATTTAGAAATTAATTTAAAACCATTTTGTATCTTCCTGCTCGGAAAGTGCTGCTGCTGCTGGTGTTGCTAGCAACGCTCACGTAGAACACTCCGGGTCAGGTGACGCAAGGGTTCTCAGTGGCAGTGGCATTGAAGTCCTGTTGTGTTTTTTTCTTCTGTAGCCTTCAAGCCCTATCAAGTGCATTAATGTCTGAGGAAGAATACATTTCTTCAGTGAAAAAGTATCCTTCCATTATGGAACATGTGACACGTACATTATCATAACAAACAAGGATGCCAGACTACCATCGAAGTTTCCAGTGGAATGGTAACGGAAAGTACTTTTCCAATATCACATGTCCCACGTGGGGTTTGTATGAATAAACACCAGTTACCAAGTCATTTTTCTATTTGCTGCCAGAAAAACCAAGAACCCACAGAGGTCTAGATAACAAAGAAGGAAATGGCGATAAGAGATTGCGCTCGTGTTGCCAACACCAGTCCATGTAGGGCTCCAAAATCTACACATTTTGGTACACACGCAGAAGGACTTAACATTTTAGATTCAGGAGGACATTTAATCTTAGATTTGAATAGACATTTTCACAAAGAATCAAAATCAAAGAACGAACAAATGTTTATAATCTTTGTGTATTTTTGCATGTCTTATGAACAGCCTCCAATTATTTTTTGTTTCTTTAGGTTAATGTTTGTTTGTTTTATGGTTAATGACTCAAAATGAGAAAGATGAAAGAGAAGTATTTTTAAAGCATTTTCAATTTTCGTTGACATTGCCTTAGTTGATGTCATTTACCTAATTGGAAGAACTAAAAAACTGTTCCCAAGCTAAAATCAAATTCTTACTACAAGCTGAGATACAGCAAAGACATACAACAAAGCCAACATTTTTAAAGAGCTAGCTTGCTGGTTGGTGTTTTGGACCTTTTAAAACAAGGGAATCATGTCTTGTGTTCTTCTATGAGTGTCCAGAACTACTTTCCCTGTAAACCAATTTTCTAGCAATGTAGTACAAATCCAAAATAATTTCCAGATACACTTCCACGGTGAAGACCGCAGTTCGCTGCTGAGCCACATAGACTCCAAGTTCGTTCCGACGCAGTATGGAGGTGACATGTACCTGCCATCAGACCAAGGCATCGAACTGCACAGACTGCTCAGCCTGTACGAGGACAAGTATCGAAGTAAGTTATTTTACAAATATTGTTACTACAATATATTTCTATGCCTAAGAACTATGTAGACGTATTTTTTTTTTTTAAACGTAAAAGCTTTGTTTGTTGTTGAAATATAATCACTTGAAGGTTTACAACGTTTTGAAGTATAAGAAACGTCTTATAACACTTAAAACATGTATTACGCCTATACTGTTACTCACAAGAGGGTTAATAAATATACATAAAAGATGGTAAGTGGTGATCGTTTTCGATTGGACACTCAAATCATCATCAGATCCAATAGGCGAATGACAGAAGTATCTGAATCTTTGAAGTATCTGATATGAAAATCAATGATTTTTTTAGAACAATGTTACAAACAAGATTTTTTATTTCAAATCCTCCAGTAAAAATATTAGTTTTTGGTAAAAGCATGTTTTCTTTAAGCATATATAAAGTGGAGTTGGATGAGTATTTAGTCTCAGTCCAGCTTTTCTTCAAATGAGTAAAGAAATTTACATTCATGAGCATTTCAAATCTAACTATACAGTGCAACCTCGATAACAATTTTGAAATTCGGTGTCATTTTCAAATTATATTGAATTTATTTAACCTCTAATCACATGTTATTTAAAACTTCGAAAAGAAGTCAACCTTGATAACAAGTCTCATTTGATAATCCTCATCAGAGTCTTTTTATCGACTTTTTACTGTAGAACAAAATCCCATTTGCGGTTTGAATTCTATACTACAATAAAATACTACATCTATTTACAACTACAATATTTTGTAAAAGCGGATATGTCTAGTATAAGTTTGATTCAGATGAAAATTTATCGCATGCAAGTAAAAGGGGCGTAAGTATACAGGGTGATCAACTCAAGGAGGCTACCATTGGGATATCGGAAACGGTAAGAATTAGAGAAAACTTTAAACAGGAGACATTCCTTAATTTTTTGTGGCAGTTAAAAATATGATTTTAGTTTTTCAAAATTCTGCCGCCATTTTCCAAAATGGCGGCCAACTTTGAAATTTCTTACAGAACACCCTGTATTTTATCATGTTTTCGGATAAAACATGCAATTTAAAAACTTTTTAATTCTTGACATTTTTTCGATAAACCCACTCGTTTATGAGTTACAGCCTATGGAAAAATGACTTCCGGTGTACATTTTACATCATGTAGCTCCAAAAAAGTAGGTTTATAGCGAAAATGCGAAGAGTAAATAAGTCAAATAAGTCTTAAAATTGCATCCACATTCCATTAAGACCATAAAATACACAGTTTTCCACTTTTCAAGCTTGCCGCCATTTTGGAAAATGGCCGCCATTTTTAAATAATATAATTAATATTTTTAACGAATTTTATGGACTTTTTGGAATGTGGAGGCAATTTTAAGACTTATTTTCTCTTCGCATTTTCGCTATAAACCTACTTTTTTTGGAGCTACATGATGTAAAATGTAGCTCATTTTTCCATAGGCTGTAACTCCTAAACGAGTGGGTTTATTGAAAAAATGTCAAGAATAAAAAAGTTTTTAAATTGCATGTTCTATCCTAAAACATGATAAAATACAGGGTGTTCCGTAAGAAATTTCAAAGTTGGCCGCCATTTTGGAAAATGGCGGCAGAATTTTGAAAAACTAAAATCATATTTTTAACTGCCACAAAAAATTTGTAAGGTACCAAATTTTAAGGGGGGTAAAAACGTACTACGAATAAATGAACACCAGAACTTACCCGATTTTTAACCACAATAGCCTACTCCTAGGCCTATGTGTTGGCCATAGCTTGGGCTATGGGCCAAAGAACGTAGGCCTACTTTTAATAATAGTGAAGTACACAAACACACCCACAACGATATATTTATTCATAATAGCACTTCGTTTCACATAATAAAGTTAAAACGACCGATTTTACGAATATTTAACGCCGATGACAACATCACTTAACCTCGAAATGGTGTTTGTTGACCAACGACAGACGACAACTAGACCGGCTCAACAGGTGAATTTCCGATCAGCTGTTGGCTAGTTCTCAAACTCACCACCAGAGCGATTAAGCCTCGACCGAGGAAATCATGATTTGAGTCGGACAAGACAAGATTATTCCCTGTTTGACCGCCGACTAGCTCACACACGACTTACGAATACGACCCTACGATTCGATTACGAAGGTTAGCTAACACACCAGTTAGGCTCCTTTTTACGTTTCACGTTATTTTTGTTTTATCTTTATTATACGCATACTTAACTTATTTTACTTTTTCGTTTTCTTAAATTACCGATTCGAATTATCTAAATTTTAATAACTTAGTTTCCGCTAACTCGAGTCTTAAACCCGCCAGTTCCTGTCTGCCAGTGACTAGCGGTGGCTATCGTTTATTTAATTTTAATTCATTAGTTTCGAAATTACGATTTCTCCGTTAGCTTAACGAGTAATTATTACTTATATCATTTTAATTGACTCGACGTTTTAATACCCCGAGACTTGTCGTCTAAGTTCTAAACCCCGTCTTTGGCGGGTGAAAGAATCAAGTCTTGGGAGCAGGCTGATTTGAACAATCAGCTACGTAAATTAATATTAAATCTATTTTAAACGACATCACGATAAATTCTCCGTCCAATTGTATTAATTAGGCCCCGACGACTCTGTGGGAATTGTTTTGCCTTTTATTCGATATTAGATCAATTACCAACGTCTTCAGCTAATTATTTTAAAGTTCATTACGAGTAATTGAATCATACTCATACTGGCTTAAGATTGAATACTCGTTGGCCCTACAGAGTCATTCAAAAGTTAGGCAAAATTCTCCAAAACACGCTAGCGAAGGTGAGGATGAAATAGCTCCTACTGAGCGTCTGTAGGATTTCCTGAGCGCTTCTAGAGCTCTGAGCCTTCGATTAAATTTAAATAAATTGATCAGTCAAAGCCGTGACACCTTCGTATCGACCCCTGGATTTTTCTCGGCTCCTTCTGAGCACTCCGGGGAAGAAATTTGAGTGTGGCCGGTTCTAGGGTAGGCCTAGCCTGACTTAGGTGAATACCAGTTTATTCCCCCCCTAGAATTTTGCGTCACAAATTAAGGAATGTCTCCCGTTTAAAGTTTTCTCTAATTCTTACCGTTTCCGATATCCCAATGGTGGCCTCCTTGAGTTGATCACCCTGTATATGGACAAAAAGAATTAAATATAGACCGTCAGCTGTGCTGCGGTACCATAGATTCTGGTGCACACCACTGGGAGCGCCATGTAGTTACGGTGTACGCACTACGTAACTACACGGCACTCCCATCTGTGTGCGCCAGAACCTGTGGTAACCATGGTTACCGCACCACGGCTGAAAGTCTATATTTAATTCTTTTTGTCTGTGGTACATACAAAAAATTGTAAAGCCTATGTCCTGACGCCCCTTTGTCTTGCAAGCAACAAATTATGTGTCTAGGGATTTTCTTACACTATAAAACACTTGGGGGTATGTTCCGTGACAGCACAATGGAAGTACAATCATACAGCAGAAACAAATCCTGTATGTTCTCTGGATGTTTTTACATAGGAGCTCAGCAACTGTATACTGTATCAAATTGGAAACAACTACAACATGTTATGCTAATTTTAGTAGTATGATGTAAACAACCAGGATACCCTGCCATCATTTAGACAGATTGGCCAACTACTTAATCTTTGTAGTAAAATTACAATTATATAAACTACATACGGTATTTTGTAGTAAAATTGTACTACGAGGGAATATAATTGACATCTTTATCTACATACAAAGACTTTACCTTTGTTATTAGACACTATTAATAAATTATCGTAGTTAAGATATCCCAATAATTTAAATATTTCAATACAACAACAAACTACAAACTACTAAAATATCACTGTTTGTTGCAGAAACTTCAGAGTATGGATACATCACTAAGCAAAAAGGCAAGAAAAGATGAGGAAGGCTGAAGTTATCACAGTGAAAGCATAATGAAATTAGAAGTTCTCTATTGAACTTCACAGATGTATTTTTTACCATAGGTATAACATTGTATTTTTAATTATTTGTGATTATTATTATTATTGTAATAAAATTAAATTTAAATACTGGAGTATTGATTGATGGATTGAAAACCCTTGTCAGTTGGGATATCAGAAATCCACGGTAAAAAGAGGGCTCGAACGTACATGACCACGGTACCCGTAGAGCTAGTGATTTAGACATACCCTGATGTCGCCTTAGTCGGACACAACATGCCTATCCTTAGTCAGTCCTGAAGATCTATAATGCACTACCGGATGAGGTGAATAATCAGAACCCGAAGGCTTTTAAGATACGATACATTAAAGGAGTACTTAGAGAAGAGGCCTCTCTACTCTCTTTATTAATTACAAGATGGGACACCCCTTGGGCAGTGAATCGCCCCCAACTTTTTTCTGACTCAGTCTATCCAATGACAAGTATTACAAGTTTATGTGAGTACAAAGAAAAATAATTGTTGAATTTGTACAACCAAATAATGGAAAAGATAGAATGATAGTGTTTGCCTTTAGGCTGCATGTAAACACCAGTGTCCAACTTAGTTTGGCAAAGAGGAAGAGGAAGTCTAGCAGTTTCTGAGAAATACGGTCTTCCGCTGCAGGAAGTCTTTCAAAGCTGAAGATTGGATCTTGATCTTCTGCACTTCTTTCCACTGTGTCATCTCTAGACAAAACTGGGCACTAGTTTAGACACACAATCTGCTAGATAAGACAATTGTCATTCACAAATGGGTCATTTAGGAATGGACTCAATAGTTTGTTCAATCCAACTATTCTCAATCAATCACCCTAAAGAAAAATAAAGTAAAACATTTAATATTCATTGTAAAATTGAAATCTTAATTTTAAACTTATGAAACCATATTTCTTATGGACTATGGGTACATTGAGGTGTAGATAGATCAATTATAGTTGCTATTAATTTATTTAAAGTTTCAGACCATTTAACCTGGGTGAAAAAATTCAAGGCGGACAAAAATAACTCGCATGTTATATACTCTGTATGTAGAAAGCTCGTAAGACCGTAACAATATCGTCAAGCTTAGAATTGATAAACACTTAACAGCTATGATAGCAGATTTTACTATACAGGGTGTGTCCATCTTCCACAAGGACAAACTTTACCAGATTATTTGGGAGGTCAAAACAAGCCAAAAAATGCAAAACAAAATGTTTCCTATATCAAATTATGTTTGAATGTTTTTTTTTTTTGTAAAATATACAGAGACAGGCAGACAGTCAACCGTTCGATATAGGACACATGTATTGCATTTTTTGCTTGTTTTGACCTCCCAAATAATCTGGTAAATTTTGTCCTAGTAGAAGCTGGACACCCTGTATATTGTTATTAGTTATGATAAGGTATTAGGCAGGCAAATCCTTGATCGTTAAACTTGAGCTCGGGCTAAAATGAGTCCCTTTTTTGCCCTAGTGATGAAATATACTACAATATTAAGAGGTTACCTACCAGTATCCCTTAAAACCCTTCTCAAAAGACACTTCCAGAAGAGAACTGAGGGTTATTTGCTAAAACCCTTGCAACTCTGTAATGATGTACTATCCCTGTGAAAAACTTTCATTTGCTCCTATCAAATTTGATTGACAGGGGTATTGCTCTTGTTCATAATAAGAAAATATGGTTTCAAATAAAGTTTTTTTTTCATTTTTAGCGAATTTCCCATATAGGGAATAAGCTATTACCGTAGTACTCATGGTAAGACCTGGACCCGGGACAGATTTTTTTTTTCATTTTGAGGTCCCTAGAGGCCAAAAACACCATCCGTTCAAATTCATATATATATATATATATATAATATATAAATGCATTATTAAATACCCCCGTCGCAGCAAGCCTGCATACTAAGCGAATTTCCATTTACCCGGCTTGATTTCTACTAAAATATTCCCTATAAATTTACAGATTTATTTCCTATTTAAATAACATTAATTTTAGTGAGTAGTTAGGTTTGCTGCTACAGGAAAGATGTTGAGGTGTGTTTTTTCAATTGAAATATTGATAGCTTAGTATGAAATAAGCCAAATTGCAAAATTTGATTAAAATATATCCATAAACAAGCAAACTAGAACAGTTTATTTATTCTCCATAAGAATAACATGGGAATTTTAAATTTACAATTTTTTAAATTTTCTCCGTAGTCAATGAACATTCAAAAAAACTTCAATATACTAAATTATTTGTTTTTTTAAGCTCTTCAAAATGGTCTAGAGAGAAATTTAGAAATTTAAAGTTTGTACCCTACATAGTTAGTAAGAACATGTTAATAGTTAGTAAGAAATTAAAACATTTTCCAAATTTGGGCAAAATATCATGTTCATAAACAAGCAAACTACAACAGTTTACTTATTCTCCATAAGAATAACATGGAAATTTTAAATTAACAATTTCTCCGTAACCATTAGGCGCATTATAACGCTTCAATATACTAAATTATTTGTTTTTTTAAGCTCTACAAAATAGTTTGGAAAGAAATTACAAAATTTTATGTTTTTTGGGTCAAAAATTGGAAAAACTCATTTTTACCCCATAAAAGCCCCCATAAACCCCCGTTCCCATGGTCCGATCATGCTGGTTCGCGAACTCGTTCGAAAAAACGTAGGTTTACACGTTTGTACCAAATTTCATCAAAATCGGATCATTTTTGCTCGAGTTATCGCGCTAACGGACACATATATAAATATATATATATATATATATATATGAATTTGAACGGATGGTGTTTTTGGCCTCTGGGGACCTCAAAACGAAAAAGTAAATCGGTCCCGGGTCTAGGTCTTACCATGAGACCTACGGTAATAGCTTATTCCCTATATGGGAAATTCGCTAAAACTATATATAAGTGTCCGTTAGCGCGATAACTCGAGCAAAAATGATCCGATTTTGATGAAATTTGGTACAAACGTGTAAACCTACGTTTATTCGAACGAGTTCGCGAACCAGCATGATCGGACCATGGGAACGGGGGTTTATGGGGGCTTTTATGGGGTAAAAATGGGTTTTTCCAATTTTTGACCCAAAAAACATAAAATTTTGTAATTTCTTTCCAAACTATTTTGTAGAGCTTAAAAAAACAAATAATTTAGTATATTGAAGCGTTATAATGCGCCTAATGGTTACGGAGAAATTGTTAATTTAAAATTTCCATGTTATTCTTATGGAGAATAAGTAAACTGTTGTAGTTTGCTTGTTTATGAACATGATATTTTGCCCAAATTTGGAAAATGTTTTAATTTCTTACTAACTATTAACATTTTACATAAAAAAACACTTTTACCCTCCCTGTTGCAGCAAACCTAAGTATGTGTTAAACTGATTCTATTTAAATAGGGAATAAATGTGATATTTTTAAGGAGACATTTTAGTGTAAATCCAATCAGGCAAATGGAAATTCGCTTAGTCTGCAGGTTTGCTGCGGCGGGGGTATTTATTCATGGAAAGTTAAATCACTCAAAATACATATTTTCAGTAACATAGTAGTATATTTATTAAATATATCCATAGCCATAATAGAGGTAACAAATCATTCTAAAACTAATAGAGAGTTCATTGTATAATGATACAAAAATAATACTTTCCTTAGAATTAATAATTTACATAAATATTACAATCTTGAGCAAGACTTATTATGTTTGAGAATGAACCCAGTCTTTTGAGTGTGTAGATAAGTTCGGTACTTTCTCCAAAATGGTAGGTTAAAAAAGTGGTTTACGGTACCTAACCTTTGTTTAATTTTTGTGCTTTAGTTGATAAATCCATTTTATATTAACTTAAAAATCACGTCACTACCTACATGCACATTTAAAATTTTAACTAAAAATCCAACTACACTATTAACTTATTTATTTAAGTTATTCTATTGTGATGTACATAAACAAATTCGATCAGTTTTAACAACAGATAATAGTAGGAAAAATCGTAATTGTCATGTTAGTTAACTAATTGAGCTAAAAATCTATGTTAAAAACTATCGTTTGACAATAATACAACCTTAATTTAAAATGGATGTTTTAAATAGGATTGCTTTGTTGTGATGGAATAAATAGTTATGATTTATAAGAGTAGTTTCCTTTTTAAGGAATGTTTTGAAGATACGTATTCTAGGATAATTTAACAATATATTATAGTATATTCTAAAGAGTAAGTAAAACAAAAGTTTTACTTCATAATTCTATTAGCAACGTTGTGTATTGGACATTCTATGATTCCAACATTGATTGATTGACATTGATTTCACGCCTTAATAATGTCCTTGTATCCGTAGGAATTGATGGCTGAAACAAACAAAATAATTTAAGTTAATTAATTATAATCATGTACACTATAGCTTAAGTTTTAAACTACATTACAAATTTCAGAAACAATTTCTGTAATAGTCAGGAAGGTGTTCACCATCTTTTTCATTAATTTCTTTCTCCTCTAATTTTGCATAAAAAAAAACAATCAGTGTGTGCTAGTCAAAGTCAGTAGTTAAGTAGAATACTATAAACTACGATAGTATAAATGAGTATAAGTAGTACAGTAGAACCTCGATTATTCGGCCCTCAATAACTCTGATTTTTAGTAATCCATCGAAGTTCCATCCCTCATAATGAATAAATCAAAGCCTAAAATAAATAATATGTACCTATGAAAATTCATATTGAAGTAAGGCACTGGCGAATCTAGAACAGTCACAAGAAGAGGGGGCCAACCAGGGGGTCTGGGGGGTTTGGGCGTACCCCCCCCCCCAAAAAAAATTTGTGTAAACTAAGTCTCTAAAATGGCAGTTTTATACAATTTCTTTGTCCAAAGTTAGTGTGACAAATTATTTTACGCAATGTGTATGCACTACTGTATTACATGCAGTAAAAAATATATGTATATGTATGGCCGAGAGGGGGCGGTCTCCCCCCCTCTGGATCCGAGATGTTAGATTCAGACAGAAATGTTGCATCACAACCTTTATAACTCGACTTTTTCGTACAAAATCTTAATTAATCGAGCACAAGCTATTTATACGGATTGAAGAGTAGATGGGGATTTCAAGGGTATTATAAAAGAGTCAATATATCAAGGCATTCAAGATATCAAGGTTTGAGTTATTGAGGTCCTACTGTACTACCTCTTACAAATGCTATTTGTCATGAAAAACTTCAAAAGAACATTGAATATTTGACCATACACGTACCCATGTACTCCTTGTCTATGAGGGACAGCAGCTCGTACCACTGGGGTCCCGTGACCCTGGGGACCTCACAAGTGCCTCCGTAACACTTGGGCAGGACCTTCGGGGAGAGGTGCTTGTGTAGGGAGTCTCTGTTACTGCCGTGGAACACAATCTAAAACATGCACAACGGTCATTCGCAGAACAAAGAAAGCCTTTTCGTTGAGTCATGCTTGCTTAAATAGTTGCAGGTGAAGGTTTTGTTACTTAAATCAAGACATCCAATGTACTTCGTTGGTGCTTAAAATGCCCAAGCATCTGAAAACAAAGAGTCTTCTTGGCAATTAACTTTTTAGTCAATTATCAGCTAGTTTCGTAAGTTTTTTTTGCAAACTTTTGTCCAATAGTTATTTGTGTAACCAGTGTGCAAAGTGGGACTTTGCGCTCGCGTTACACATAATATTTTTCCAAAAGTTACTATAAAGCATAGAAATAATTAGTCTTTCAAATACTAAACAACACGTTTTAGGTTAGGTTAAATCCAAGCGTTGAACAAAATGGGAAACACTGCACCAGCTGATAGTAGGCTAGTATCTTTTAAGTGTTGCCAAATTATTTTCAAGCATACACGTATTACGTGCATAACAAAAGCACACTGTTTTGTGTTGTTTGGTTGGAATACTGCAGTGCAGCAAAAAAAGAGTGTGTAAAAGTATGAGTGTGGCAAAAGAAAGTAGATTCAACAATTAGCTACTCTGCGTACTATAATCAGTGCAAGGAAGCCCGCTTTGTCAAGTAACTGTAGGCAAATGTTTTTTGTAGATTGTATAATGGCCTCTTACATTCTCGGCACATATTTTTGCAAGTTAGTCAAGTGGAAATAATTCTTTCTCTCAGTCTATGGACAATTATACAGTATGTTTCTATAACAATACTAAATTCAAAAGCTAACTTTCCACGTCTGATTCGCTCGCCTCTCATTTATTTCTTGATTATAAATGATAGAGTGGTCAGTAATATCATGACATACATTACTAACAATCCGTTTAACCTCAATATTGCGTTCATTTCAAGCTGCGGAAAATAGAGCATATTTTTAGGTCAAAATGTCCTACTATTCATTGGAAGTTTTAATTATAAACATAACACACACAACAAAAAGCACATAACATTTAATCTTGGGTAACCATACGCTAACCATACATGAAATAAAGCACTGGGGGGAAGTTTTCAAAACAGCTGTAGTTGATTTGTACAGCAAATAATTGCTTCAATAATAACACAGGTGGCATAAACCTTTGTTTGCAAATTGTGAAATGATGTAGGTCTGTTTACCTTTGAAAATACAGAGTGGAATAAAAAATGTGTATATAAAAATTAAAAGTTTATAGTAAAACTTACTCTGCTTTTTAGCTTCTCGCGGAGGAATGGCTTGAAAAGGTTGAACACAATGTTGAAGATGTAGGGTTGGTTCACTATGTGAATCCCCTTTATCCTGAGTGGTACACTGTCCTGAAAACGTGTAATGTGCTAATTAGTAAAAAATAAAACTCGTAAAAGGCTCAAAATCGTATTAAATTGCTTCAAGGACCCAATCGAAAAAATTTTTAAAAAAACATTTTAAATAGGATAGAGGGTCATTAAGATAATGTTAATTCTTTAAACCTGTAAAAAATCAGTAGTTGTATGTACACATTAAAAATCAACATTCTTTTACACTATTTTTGTTATACACAGTTGGACACCCAGCGTAAATCTCGGCGACCAAATCCCACTTATCACAAATGCTAGATTTACCTTTGTTGTTGCTCTGAGTTCTTGTAGGAAACATGTGTCACCCTATGTATTCTGCCTCTTTGTATGGCATCTTCTTATGCATTGATTTTTTTATCACTAATACTCTAGTCTATGTTTACAAACATATTCACACATACACCGTCACTAGTATGGCGTTAAGGTTGTTTGGAAAACAAGAGTAACGCGACGAAGGATACTCACTACTCAGATGGTGAAATGCATAGGGGGCCAAAACATGTAACTTATCTATGATGTAACCTACAATCATATGTTATCTACAAACATATTACAAAAAGGTAAATCTAAATTCACTTCTTGAAACTGAGATAGGAAAAAATATTGATCCACAAATGTAATTGTAAGCTATGTGATTGTGTGTGGGGTGATCCAGTGGTCTGGAACCCAAACCAAGCTGTGTAGGTCCAACTATCTAGAAATGAAAAAGGATCTCCAAGGCACTGTTGAAACTACAACAAAAATGCAAAGATATAAAGAATCACACATGAATTTTAAAGGTCAGAAGCTGTGACTTTTGCCTAACACACATTCACACAATTGTTGAGAAGAAGCCACTAGTGAATTCTTCACTTCAGACTGATTGTGTCTTGTTTAAAATTTACCTGAAGCCAGTCGACAATTCGCTTAGCGAAGGAAGGAGTGAACTGCATTGTCTGTTGCATACTGAGCCCGTCCATGTCAAAGATGACTTCGGCTCCGCTAATCTGAGTCTCGGGTTCTAACATGGCTGCCTCCATGAACAGAACTGCGCCTTTGAACACTTCGTCCAGGGAACACTTGTTGTGCTTCCATTTCTCTGCAACATTGTGTTATTTGAGATTTTGTTAAGGATTAAGCATTTACTACAGTTTTGGTTGCTGCAAATTGAGACAATAACAAATGTTTGTTTGTTTACGTCGGCAGAATCCAAAAAAAGATAGTTTATATATACATAGTAAACATTCTTTATGCATAGTAAATAATTTCAGCATTTTCACAGGTGGTAAAGATACAACAAAAACAGGTCATTTCAGAGTAGTGTAGCAAAAAATAAGTATTTAGGCATTAGCAGTTTTACAGATTTCCTATGAGGTCTATCTCACTCTGTAAGTGGTATACGATCCAGACAACGATTACAATTCAAGGAGGAATTGTTTGGATCGATTCAATGAAGGGATAGGAGAATTACTTAAGAGTGATGATAAGCACAATACCAAACTCAGACAGACAACAAACTGCTGAAAAATCCATCCAAGGGCATACAAATGGGGATATTGAAGGACAACATAGTCAGTTAGGGATATGGAATGATCTATTGCAGCATGTTTTGGCTATAAAAAAAACCATAGTCTTATCTTGCTAATTCTATTAAAATATCTACTTCAATATACAACATAATATGTAAAAAATTAATATGCTTGATGCATTTATTGCACATTCTTGGGATCAAACTGTACTTTGCAAAGTTGAGGTAAATTGCTCCAAACTCTTTTTAAGATTAAGTTTTGCACCGCTTTGAGTTTGAGTTGAGCAACATTTTGTTTTGTGTGTTGAGTTTAGATTAAGTGGAAATGGTTTTTCACATTTCCAGTAACTTCGACATTTTCCTGGGTCTTGTTTCAACAGAACTTTGCTACTAATTAAAAACTAAAATAAGTAAATAAATAATTTTAGTATGACTAACTTCCGAGCTCCAGAACCAACATCCGCCGCCCCTCCTGATCTCTCATTGGCAGAACTGTGAGAACATCATGGTTGAAAACGTTCTTCTCCGAGGAAGGTATGAGTCCTTCATACATGTTCTTGTGCTTCTTCTTAAAAGAGTAGTAGTTTTTCACCTGAAACATACAATTTGTAAAAAAAATGTGTTTCGACCTTTATCAGTTTGTACAATGGCCCAGTCGTTAAATGTCTGAGTGAGAGGGACGTTCATAATATATTCTATGGTAGGACGGAATTCATGGATGATAAGATTAGCCTCATGGTATCCTCCTCGTTTCCTAATTATTGAACCCACCAATCTATTATCTAGTGTTGATCATTGGAATGACAGTTCACCGTGAAATAGAAGGTTGCGTGTTTAGATCACGTTGGGGTCGCCATACAGTGATGTTTAATATGTATAAATAATTGCACCACTATATGAATGAATATTTTATATTTACAGACAAATAAAGAACTGTAGTAAATCGTGACATAAACAGAAACAAAACATTTGAACAAATCAGCTGTTGTGTAGTAAATCTATATAAATAAAATTAGAGTTTTGTCTGTACATTGCTTAGAATAATGAACTTTTTGGTTATTTTTACATTTCATAGGTCAGAGAAACCGAATCAAACCTTATCTCAATTTCTGTCTGTCTGTCTGTCTGTCTGTCTGTCTGTCTATCTGTCATTCTCTTGGTAACGCTAAAATACGCACTTTATTACAACTACTCCTCAATAACTATAGCACTGTCCCGCCTGAAACTTATTTTCCAAATACTATACATATATGAGATGGTTTTAGACGTATTTCATCGAATATGAGACAGTTAGATATTTAACAGTAAACCCTTGAAAATCAAGTTTTTGTCGATTTTTGACGTGGAATTTCTGGAAGCCCATGTTAACCTTATGAGAAATGAAATTATTGAATCTTAACAGCTGTTTCAATTAAACAAGTTGGTTCTGTTCTGTGATGTTCAATAGCATTAAAGTTACAAGGATTACCAACAGGGTGCAGCACTAGCACTATTATTTCTTTTACATTTATGACAACAGCTAATTTGCAACCTGGAGGCGAGTGAGCGTAGCGAACGAGCTAACCTGAAGGCAAGTGAGCGTAGCGAACGAGCTAACCTGAAGGAAAGTGAGCGCAGCGAACGAGCTCCAACATACAGGTGAGTGAGCGTAGCGAACGAACTTCAACCAGGACGTGATTGAGCCATGCAAACGAGATCAGATAGTAAAAATAAAAGTAAGCCTACCGTTATAGGATCGACCGGCAGACACAGAGGTAATTTAACCTTTTATTGATTGTCATACCGATCCGGAACAACAAAAAACAACATAAAATGAAGCTATGTATAATAGTTTGGCCAGCATATCTTAAAATATGCAAACCAACTGCTGTTCTTTATATAAGAAGGTTTCAACTGAATATTATAAGATCCCCGTGCGTAGAACGGGTACACAGCTAGTATTAAAATAAAATAAGCATCTAATCACTGCTGTGGCTAAGTTGACACAACAAGGTTTTCCTTAGTGTGGAAGGAATGTCCCAACATACCTTATTGTCAGTTTTCAACAGATACCTTGTGTATTGATAAGGACTCACCAGATACCTTGTGTATTGATAAGGACTCACCAGATTGAAGGCACTCTCAGGGTAGAACTTGGTAGGTCTCAAGAACCTTGTTAGCCAAGCGACGTTGTCCACAGGGGTTATCAGGCCTTTATCTTTCTCATCTGGAACAGGAAAAGTTACAAGGTATCAGAAATGGTTAACAACACATTAGTAACTAAACTAAATCCACAGAGAAGTAAGGCACAGAGGAAACATTCAAGTACACAAGTGGTGTCTAGCACTAGTGCTCGTGTCTAGAGCAAAGTCCAATACCATCCCTCTCGCCCTCATGCAGTGGCGTGTCCAGGGAAGGGGTCCAAGGGGGGCCGGGCTCCCCCCGAAATTATTTTTAATTAAGAAATGACGTGTTGTTTCTTGATACCACCAATACATTGACAATGGTAACTTATTGGTGTTGAGAATCGATTGTCAAAAGTCGATTCCGATACCGATACCAGATACTTTTGCGGAAATCGGAAACTAACCAATTTTTCCCGCGATCTTGCAAGACGACGATGATGTCTGCACGGCTGCAGGAGATGTTCCAAATTTTGCTGCGATCACGGAAGACGACGATAATGTATACACAACCTCAGGAGATTATCAGAATTTTGCCGCAATCGCGGAGGACTACGATAATTTCCACATGACCATGGGAAGCTGGAGATATTTGTGATTTTGCAGCAATCAAAGGAGACGTCAATACAGTTTTTGTGTCCACCGGAGACGATGATGGTGATTCCGTTACTGAGGAAGATATTCAGGATTTTTCAGTGATCCCAGAGTACGACAATAAAGTATCCACCACTGCTTTTGAAGATGACCTTGTTCATAAAGATTTCTGTACAGTTAAAGGTACTTATAGTTGTATTACACTGATGCTATTCTCTACATTTGAGCCTTCAGAGGTGCTATACATTGCATTTTAGCACCTTAAAATACAAAAATTTCTAGGTGGCTCTGGACCTCCCTATCCTGGATATTCCACCCCCCCCCCTCGGTTTCGGCTCCCCAACGAAATCCTGGCTACGCCACTGCCCTCATGTACTAAAAGGCTCACAGTGGAAGAAGCATGTGCCCTGTGCTATAGGAATTTCCGCCACAACATACTAGAGCTGAAAGCGTACATTCAAGTTTCCTCTGTACCTTACTTCTCTTTGCTAAATCCAATAGACAATTATTTTTTACATTCAATAATTTTAAATTAATAGTAAGGGTTGAATGTCCTACAGAGGTTTTAAACTGACAGTTAACTTGGCTCTATATTGTAGTGGTGGTTTACTTCACCAAATAATATTTTGAGAAATTAATTGGGATTTATTTTGAATGTTTGATTATACCTTTTGTGTGAATATGGGTGAATTGTAAAATATTTACTGTTTGCCTCTGTGTTAGGTAAGCAGTACCGTAGTGAAAAGATGATCGTGGGAACACAGTTTTCTCTCAGCTATTGGGAGTTTCCTCTAAGGATTTTTCATATCATACACGAGAAAAATTGTTCTGACATAAAGAGCAAAATCACACACTCACTATTGAGTCACTATTAGTCAGTTGAGAAATTCAGGCCGTTGTTTACTGTTCCCCCACTTCCTTTTTTGGCTTATCAGCTGATCAACTGCTGGCTGTTGTTTTATAGTTAGGGTAAGGTGGAGGGGATGAAATTGCTTCCCCTTAAACCACCTAAATTTTATGAACCGAGTATAGAAATTTACTATCCATTTCAAGGCATCCTAGTATTGAATCTGGCTTTTAACTATATGGATTTATGTGGTGGAATTTTATTTTTGCCAAAGTGCAATTTGGCTTTTAGGAACCATAAACATGACGGTACCGGTATCTCACTAAAATGTTACAACTTTACCAAGACAGCTAAGAATTAAAACTGGCAACATGGATTTAAGGGATGCCATATTGCTAAGTAAAACAGAAATATTCTGCACAATATATATATGTTAAATATAAAATAGTAGACATTTGTGTTTTTGAACCTACCTCGTAGAAGATCCTGCAATGTAGCTATGCTCTCTCTAGCTAGGTCTGGAGTTTCTCTCAGCTCTCTACGAGCCTTCTCCAGCAGCTCGGGTCTCGGCTCCTCCACCTCCAACCTCAACACAAAGTTACCCAGAGTCACATTGGGCACCTCCGTCAGCTCCGACAGCAAACAGTTGTTGCCTGGAAACAGAAAAATAACGTAAACATCAACAACAACAACATTATGTATCAACACAGAGAATTAATTCAAGAGTACATAGTGTATGTCTACATAAATATTGCATATGTCTGAATTAATTGTGGTTTTTAGGAAACTGGATCCAGCGTTATCCTTGATCAAACGTTCAATCTTTTAAAACAGTAATGTTCACTTGGGTGTGAATTCTAAACTGAATTTAAATGCAAGGTAAGGGTTGAATGAAGTAAGCTTTGTTACCAACAGCTGTTTCTATATCCAGGACCAGCTGTATGATGATTGTGGACAGATGAATCTCAGAGATGGTACAGAGAAAACATTTAATGGTACTAAAAGTTTATTTGTGTATTTGGGTGTTTCTACGCTGGTGGCATTTTTAACGTTTTGAAAGGGAATGGTCCAAGCCCTGGTCTTGTTACTATCTAACGTTGACCTTTATGATAGATAACATCATTAATTCATAGTCCAATGAATGGCATCTGGGTCTGGAAACGTTCTCGCTTATGGATTCGAACCAGCGACTTTCAGATTTGAAGGAGAGCACTATAACCACTCGGCTACCCAGACAATTTGCTAGACACAGTTGTGCCCAGACAGCACACTTTCTCCTCAGGACATCCCACGGATATTGCGACAGGATATGCAAGATATCCCATAGTGGTCCTATGGTCAACCTGGGATATCACAGGATATCCACAGGAATGCGTAATGTCCCCGCCCGGGGATGTCCTACGGATAAGCTCACACGCATATCCGTGGGACATCCGAGGTCATCCCAGGGTAGTCCTCAGGACATTCTCAGGACATATGGGACTACTATGGGATGTCCCTGGGATAAAGTGTGGTCTGGGCCTGAACATAAAAAACACAAAATAATATAGATTTAGTATGAAAAGCTTAATTATAAGTTTAGTAAATTGATTAAATAGTTAATAAACACAAATTTCGAAGAAAAAAACGAGAAAAAAGTTTTTGGCCCAGACGGGTATCGAACCTGGTACCTTCCCCTTATGAGCCTCTTACCTTACCTCCTGAGCTATCTGCGCTTGATGGTTATGGGTGTTTTCAAGTGGTTAAAGAGTAGCCGACAGTTGCAATGGTCGCAATACTTAAAATATTTTTGATACTACAGTATAGGCTATATATGATTCTGTTTATCTGTTTAGGCCTCAAGTAGTTGATTTTTTTTCTGGTAGTTGGAGAGGATACTGGTATTTGAATATAGATTATTTAATCACCATTAGATTAGCACTGTTATAATTGATTGTTATATGATTAAAATTAGTTTTTAGTTGTTTTATTAATTTAAAGTTAGAATTAAATTCACATTTCACACAACTATGATAGAACTCTAGTTTTCCTGAACTCAGTGGTATTAATATGTCAGTAAAGTTAAGTCAACCCTTGCTAGCCATAGTATTAACAAGACATATTTTCAATCTGGGAAACCTTAAACTTTTAAAAGAAATTATTAAACCTCAACATCTTAATGCGTGGGAATCTTATTTTTAGAAAAAAAACCGACCAAAATTATTTGTTAAATAATGAAGACGGCCTAATTATAAATTCGGAATTACTGAAAATAATTACAGTGCATCAAGAACAACACTGTAACATAGGTATCCAAAATTCAAAAGATTAATTTTTCTAATATTATTTTTTATTTTTCCAATATCCTTTAAATCATCTGTTTTAACATTGTTTAAAATTAATTTATTAAGTAAATATTTACTTTTTGTACTAGTGTAAACACAGCCTGAAGATGGAAACCAAGTTTCTGAAAGCACTAGTGAAAAAAACAAATTATTATATATTGGCCTTGTTGAACATTTAAATTTAGATATACATTTCATCAGTGGTAGTATTTTTTTTCTTCAGTATGTTACCGGGACATTACGGGACATTACAGGATATCCAGTGGATGTTGTACATGTCCCGGGATGTCATGGGACATTCTGGGATATCCTATGGCATTCGTACATATCCCGGGACTTTACAGGATATCCTGAGGTTAACTTACAAATCCCGGGACATTACGGTATATTGTAGGATATCCTGTGGATTTCGTACTCGTCCCGGGATTTTGCGGGATATCCTGAGGATAGCGTACATATCCCGAGACATTCTCAGGACATATGGGACTACTATGGGATGTCCCTGGGATAAAGTGTGCTGTCTGGGTGTCTAGCACTAGTGTCTAGGGCAAAGTCCAAATCCTCGCCTTCATGTACTACAACCCTTAAGGTGAAAGGTGGAAGAAGACCCTGAGCTCTGTGTGATAAAAATTCCCGCACAGTGCTCGCCTCTTGGACTCTTCCTTACTCGCCACAAGTATATTTCCGGCACAACATAGAAAGAGAGAGCTAAAAGTAAGAGTAGTAGTAAGAGGGAGCTGAAAGCACTCGTTTGTCCCATAAGTGAGTTTCCATACTTCTCTGTGGCTCGGTCCAGTTTTGAACATTGGTACTAAATTTTCTTTTGATCACAGACAACCTTAATTATTACTAGGCTTATTCTGATTTTTGCAAGCATAGTAATGTAATGGCTAAAGTAATCTCATCCCTTTTTACACTCATCATTTCCTAGGCCTAATAGTCATTTTCCTCTGTTGTTTCCCTCAACACTTCCTTTTTGTTCCTATGTAGTCCAGTCTCTGACTAAACAACACCTTGCCAACAATATTTGTAGTAGATTAGAAGTAGATTCACTTCTTTACATAACAAATTTTTACTAAGTCCATTAAAATTTTTAGTATAATTTATCAGCTGAAGGCAGAGTCAATACTTATGCTTGTATTTGTATAATATGCTTGTATATGATCGAGCTGATTCTAGGGTCTAAACATGGTGATTTAAACTGATTAAGGAACGCCCGCGGATCGACGATGCAACAACCACTGCATCTATGTTTTGTCAGTTGTGTTGTATTTACAATACAGGCGTATCTGAAACAGCTTTAAAAATCGAAAACACTCAAAAAGTCAAAAATGTATTAACCGGTAAAATCAACGGTAAAAAAATGTATTGTAGTAACAAGACCAGTGGGAATGTTAGCGGGTGTAAGGGGGAGACCGTTCCCTTAAAAACATTAAAAAGTACTACTGGTCTAGATAAATACATAGCCAAATTAACCGGAAAATAATAAGGCTATGAATAACTTACCCATAGTTAACTAGGTTTGATTTAATTTTAGTAAATATTTTACCAATAAAACAGGTTTTATCAGAGAATCTCAAGTTAAGGTTAAGAGGTTTTAAATTAAGGTTGGACCTAAACAATAAAACTTTAATTTAAATTTACTAAAACATTTGTTATATTAGTTTTTATGTTATCTTCTATGGAAACCGTTCAGTTCAACATTACTTAACTTTTTTAGTACTTTTTTTACGTAAACCACTTTAAAATTAATATTTGCTTGATATATCTTGGGCAAAATCCTTATTTTGTAGTAATCAAACTGTCTTTACCTGGCTGGAACTATTCTTGGAAAACTTTACTGGTAAATGAAACGGATCTTTAGTCAGGGAAACTTGCGAAATCAGGGATTTCATTTTCCCAAGGTTGGCAGTACCGGCGTGACTCATGTCTGATAACAGTACAGTCACAGTGTTGTCAGCTGACTGTGATTATGTTGGTCACTACCGGAAACGCCGGGTACGCCTCCGGGATTGAACTTGTGCTGTCCGTTCCTCGTTTCTTTGGCAGAAACCGTTTGATGAGAGAGACGTTCTGCCCCACTACAGTGTTACACTAAGCGTTGCGCGTATATATTTCTTTAAAGAAAAATGACAACGAACGTTACCGATAAAAAATACTACAGTATAATAGTTCGTTTCCACCGACCACATAGGTAATGCAATTTTTTGTTAGGTTATGGCATGTACTTAAAAAACCACACCACTTGTCCTTAAATAGCTATACTGTTATTTGGAACTTCAAGCACACATTTTATAAATTCCTAAGTATTAGTACAGTTAATTTAAATTGTTAAAGTTACAGTTTATCATCACCACTGAGCATCAATTTAATGTAAATTCGCAAATAAACCACGCAGAACAACCATAGACTAAAGGAATAAGTTGCCTACTCCTTTAGTCTCTACTACTCCATCTCCTACTACTCATAAGTCCTAAGGAGTAGTTGGTGTTAGGCATTCTACTATTGGTACAACGAAAGTACACTAATTGGTCCTTCCACCTGGATCGATATAGAGAGATTCGAGACGTTTGATGTTGTCTGAAGAGGAAAAAGAGGAAGGGCATAGAGGAAAGCCATGTTGAGATGCTTTCCTATCGTAGTTATGATAATCTTTGCTTATCATGTTAGCAATGCAAATATTTTCATAGAAACAACCGATTCTGGATAGAGAATTTGTCATTATTCTTTATACACTCGTACCCTTCCTACAAGTTTACTTTTAAAATTATACCTGAAAAATTATTATTATTTAGTTAACTACTGAACAACCCAACTATTTTTAGCAAAAATGTAATTTTTGCTTCGCAAAGTGTTTCGTTTTGCGTTGAGGCGGGCGAGCTGCGGTAAAATAATTTATGTAAAAACTGAAAATGCTGTAAAGATTTTTGATTCAACTTTGTACTACTTTACTTTCCAAGGGCACAAGAAAAGTGGTTTTGTATTGAAACTATTGAAACCATAATGAATTTTAATGATGGCCCATGGAAAATTCATTTTGAACAACTAGAATAGGCCTAAATAACCTAATCACTAAGATTTAATTTTTTCAAAGAATTTGATGAAATACGAAAACAAACATAAGATTAAAGGTTAAAAACATTCTCTCAACTAGCAAAAAAAAACTCGGAAATTGTAACGTAATTGTCTTCAAGAATTAATAGACATTCCGATACAGATGAATCGGTTCATTAGAAGTACACAATAACCCAAGTAATGGTAATTGGTAATGGGCTATTTATCACTTGGCAGCTACATAACTCATAATTACTGCAGATTCTTGTTGGCGA